CAGGAGTTGGAAAAACATCACTGACACATTTAATATGTCAGCAACAGCCTATTTCTAATCCTTCTTGGACCATAGGTTGTTCAGTGGAAGTTAAATTACATGAATATAAAGAAGGAACACCTAATCAAAGAAGATATTTTATTGAACTATGGGACATTGGTGGTAGTCAAAATCATAAAAATACAAGATCTGTTTTTTATAATCCTACAAATGGTATAAATTCAAAATATTTGGCATATGTTACCATAAATTTCAGTTAACATCTTAATAATCATATATCATTACCAATAATGCAGGTATAATATTGGTCCATGATTTAACAAACAGAAAATCGCAACAGAATCTCCAAAAATGGCTTGAGGAAGTTTTAAGTAAAGACAGTAATTATATGAAATCAAAACCATTTGATGATTTTGATCCTGAAAAATTTGTAGGTTCCACTCAGGTAATACAAACTTTTGACAATATGTATTCTATTATTACTTTATTCAAAAATAAAACATTTCTTTTTAGATACCAATCTTAGTTATTGGCACAAAATTAGATTTAGTAGCAGAAGTAAGATCAAATGTTCACAGACGTTCATCAACAATTGCAGAAGAATGTGGTGCTGATGAAATATTTTTAGTATGTAAATTATAAATATTTTATTTCTCAAGGTGATTAGACACCTATGCTTCTGCTTGATGTTAATTAATTTATATCCCTCAGGATTGTCGTCAGGTGAGGTCATTAGCTGCTGGTTCTAGTTCATCTGTAAAATTAAGCAGATTTTTTGATAAAGTTGTTGAAAGACGTTATTACTCATCAAAAGAAGGAATTAGTCCTGATAAACGAAGGTTACCATTATACAGTACACAGTACAGTACTAAAATGTATCACAATGATTAAATATTTTTCAAATCTTTTCATTTTATATTCCACGAATATTTCGTTTGTGATTTTTATTATACGAGAATCTTTAAAATAATAAAAGGACTTCTGGCGCCATCTACCAAAAAATCCTTAAGTTATTAACCAATTAGTACAAGACCCTTCCCACTAGATGTTGCTACAACACTATTCTTCTTCTATCGTTATGTGTTAAACAAACTTGAATATTGATTAAAAACATTAGAATTTACCTTTATTAAGACATAATATCATTCTAAGGGGATATAATAAACAATTAGACACTATGAAAAATAATATATGAACGCTATTTCCACGATTATTCATACTTTACAAAATGTATTACATACCATCGAATAACATGGCGCAAAAGAGATGATTCTATAACAATTTTTTTTATTACGTCATACTGTAGCGCGCGATGGATAAAAATTTCAAAAACTACACTTCATTATGTTCGAAATTTTTCTTCATTGACATCAACATATTTTCAAATACATAAATCATAATCCAATAATGTAAAAGCTAAGATGAAATTTTATGCAATTCAGATGTATTTAGATATATTGATTAACTATTTCATTTATCATACTTGAACATCATGCTTTACACCTACCTTTCTAAATTTCTTGGTGTGTGTGTGTTCTATTCTGAGGTAACACATATATTGCATTTTCGTACGTAATATAAAGGTTAACACGCGTTACCTGATCGTTTGTCAAACATGACTTTCATTGAATATGCTGTCATCTAAAAATATATTTATTTCGATATTTAACTGCGTATAATTGATCTAATTGAGTTTTTCAAAATTAAGAGTGTATTCAACAAACATTATTTTGTAACCGTGTGTATATTTCTTACGTAGGACAATTAGTAACACGTGCATAAGTGACAAATTATGACCTTTGTTTTTTAGGACGTTTTGTTTTAGAATGACGTGCTTATTTACAAAGAAATTTCCTAAACAATGTTATTTCCCAAATTTTTTGTCACGTTTTCAACCTCTGGTTTTTTTACAAAATTACGGATATGCCCATGATGCCATATCGGATAAGGAAGGACCAATTGCTGCCCTGAAAAGTAAAATAGCAAGGGGAGAATTGATGAAAGATAGTCATCAAATGGAAATTGCTGATACTTTGCAATGTATTTACAACGAAATCAATGGATATAAACCAGAGGAATCTAGTCTCATTGACAAATGGCTTGGCAAAAAGAGGAAACAGCCACCAAAAGGATTATACCTCTATGGAGCAGTAGGTGGAGGTAAAACAATGTTGATGGATCTTTTTTATGATTGTTGTCAGGTATCTTATTTTATATGTCCAATAAGTACTGCACATGGGGAGCCATGCTGTAATTTTCCCTTTTTATTTCCCTGTTGACATGACAATTTATAATATTTTTCAGAGTAATTCAGGCATGTAATAAAATAATTGACGAAGCAAAGGGTTTACTTTATATGTCGGAAGGAATGTTATAAAGAAAACTCTTAATGTGTGAGAAAGGTATTATTAATATAATGGCTTTCCATATGCAATACAATTTAAAATAATACTTTTAATTATAAGATTAAACATATAATTGGCTTGAAATATGTCATTCCAGATTGATAAGAAGAAAAGAGTGCATTTTCATTCTTTCATGGCAAATGTACATGTAAAAGTTCATGAGGTGAAAAAAACTTTTGTACGTGATGTTAGTAGTACAAAGCTTCAACCATTTGATCCTATACCACCAGTTGCTAAAAGCATCACTGAAGAAGCATGGCTACTGTGTTTTGATGAATTTCAGGTTTATTTATGAGATAAACAATTTGCATATAGAAGGTTGAAAATAACATATCTTAATAAAAATCCTATGCTACAGGTAACTGATATTGCAGATGCAATGATATTGAAACGATTATTCACTGAACTTTTCAACAATGGTGTAATTGTAATTGCAACCAGTAATAGAGCACCAGATGATTTATATAAAAATGGTTTGCAGAGAGGAAATTTTCTTCCATTTATACAGATATTAAAAAATTATTGCATCATAAATTCATTAGATTCAGGTATAGATTATAGACTACAAACTGGACTTAGCGATGAAAAAATTTATTTCATGTATGTAAATTTATCCCTAGATAAAATATGTAATACAGAATATTTGCATGTAAAAATTCATTAAATAATTTTTCTAGTAAAGGGAAAGATGCAGTAAATGATGTGGATAAAGTTTTTAAATATTTATGCTCAAAAGAGAATGATATTGTAAGATCTCGCACTATTTCTATCAGAGGACGCAATGTTACCTTCAATAGAACATGTGGTCAAGTACTGGATTCAACTTTTGAAGAGCTTTGTGATAGAGTAAGTTCTACTTCTTTAAATATCTAATACAATATATTATTTCTCCCCTACATGATTCATTCATTTACAGCCACTTGGTGCAAGTGATTATTTAGAGCTTAGTCAAGTATTCCATACAGTTATTATAAGAGATGTGCCACAATTAAACTTCAGGTTTAAGTCTCAAGCTAGAAGATTTATCACATTGATTGATACATTGTATGACAATAAGGTAAAATCAGTTTCTTAATAAACAAGTGTATGTAATTATATAATTACAAGAACTTGTTTTATAAATAAGTAAATGTTTTAGGTAAGAGTTGTTATATCTGCAGCTGTGCCGCATACGAAACTTTTTGTAGCAGAAGGTGATACTCAATATACAGATGAAAAAAGAATGCTCATGGACGATTTAAAAATATCACATGGTTCTGTAAGTTAAATGAACTCAATTGTATTTTTTAAATGTTGATGCATTGTATCATACAATTATATAATCTTATTTATAGGATGACCATAAATCTAATCTTTTTACTGGAGAAGAAGAACTCTTTGCCTTTGATAGAACTGTTTCACGACTGTCAGAAATGCAAACTGCACAGTATTGGGAACAGTGGCAACATCATAGATAATAATAATTTAGATTAGTACAAATTTCAATAGTATTTTTTACTAGCACATTCATCTAAGTCAGTAAAATATAAGTTCTTAATACAATTTTTACTAGAATATTGATCTAATATAAAAATGTTATTAAATTTATTTAGTTGTGTACTTAAAAAATTTATGCAGTTTTTAAATAGTTCAACTTATTTATGCTACTATTTATTTGTTTCAATATTAAATTGTGAAGATACATGAATAAAGAAATATTAAAATCGTTTTATTCGCTGATTTTTATTGCATCCTTCTATAAAAATGAATAAAAAAAATTATTATTCAACGAATACGTAATCGTTTAACTACCAGATACTATATTCTCGTCACTTTATCAGTTAATTGTATCGTTGTATTACGCATACGCGTACAAAATGCGTGTTACACACACAGAACCTACATCTTCGCGGCACCTCGTATACAAATAAATCACAAATCACGAACGATTTCGTTGTTATCAATTTTTATTTTTAAGCCATATTCCACATATATTTTTAGCACATTCACTTACCACTTCTTTCCATTTTGTGTAACGTTTACACTTTCGCGACATTACGTATTAAACGAGTCATATTTTTTAGAACTTTACAATATATATATAATCAATATTACAATGGATATTGAAGAACTGGCCAATGGTATGCAATTGAATATTTTATACACAATATTATAAATTTAATATTAATTAATATTTTAATTACTTCTTCACTAACAACTGTTAAAATATACCTTTTAGCTACAATGAACTTTGACCAATCAATCATAAATGGAAAAATTCTTTCCATACGTTCTAAACTTGATGCACTGGAAAAAGATACTAAAATAACTTGGCTGATGAAAGCAATAGGCTTTATAGACTTAACTACGTTAGGGGGGGATGATACGCCTATTAAAGTTAAAGCTGTCTGTACGAAGGTAATTCTACCATAATTGTATCTACAATGGGAATGTATAGATTGATATACTTCTTGTTATGTATTGTTTCAAATGATAAAATTGATAAAAAAATGAATAATTGCAGGCTGTAAATCCTCTTGGTGGATCCACAGAATCCATACATACTGCAGCTGTATGTGTTTTTCCTATGAGACTTGAAGATGCAAAGGCATCATTAGCAGATCTTGATGAAGACCATAAAGTTTCCATTGCTACTGGTTAATAACACATTTATTTCCTGGTTTTAATTTGATTAAATTATAATATAATATTGTTTTATGAGCAGTAGGTGGAGGATTTCCATCTGGACAACTTCCACTGGAGACACGTCTCAGAGAAGTGGAAATAGGTATTGAAAGTGGTGCTGATGAAATTGATATTGTAATCAATCGAACCTTGGCTATAATGCATCAATGGGAAGAATTATATGAGGAATTAAAATTATTTAGTACCATTTGTAAGAATAAAGTATGCCTTAAGGTCATACTTGCTACAGGAGAATTGGTAAATTTGGAAAATGTGTACAAAGCATCTATGGTAGCAATGATGGCTGGAGCTGATTTTATTAAAACATCCACTGGAAAAGAAACAGTTAATGCCACTTTACCTGTTGGAATGGTTATGTGTCAGGCAATTAAAGATTATTATGCATTAACACACAAGAAGGTAAAAATTGCTTTTAAATAAATCCTATTGATACTACATCAATCTTTTTGGAAATTTGTTACTACATACTGTGCATCATCTTTAGATTGGTTTCAAACCAGCTGGAGGTATTAAGACATCACAAGAAGTTTTGGAATGGATGATGTTAGTTCAAACAGAATTAGGAGATGAATGGCTAAACAAGGATTTATTTAGAATTGGTGCATCCAGTTTATTAGATAACATAGTTGAGGCAGTAAATTCAAAATAATGTTATCCCACATTTGTACTGTTTATAATGTTCCAGACATGTGCTTAATTTTAAAAATTTTATACTCATAATTTGTATGACTTTTAAATATATTCTCATTTAAAAAATTGCATATTTTTAGCCTTTTTCTACGTTTCCTATTACATAGTAATTAATTCTTAAATTTTTATACCTACGTATATTACTATGAAATTGGAATTTTTAAAGTTGTTTCAAATTGAAGACCGACTTTCTGATATTCACCATAGTTTCTTACAATCATTATTATTTTTTATTTGCTTGTGATATGAGCAATATTATCGTAGACATTATTTTAAGTACGTAGATTTTTACAGTTAACTTAAAAACATATAAACTATTCACGAAAGTCTGAATGAATAACAATACTTGGTCGCCATATTGGCGGCAGTGACGTCGCGGGGAACTTCCTGATGCAGTGAGAAACAGCGCGGGTTTGTCTTTTCCGTTTAGAAAACCAAGATGGTAAGTTCGTCATACGTTGTCAACATAAAATCCGCTTGCATCCGGCGTTTTGAATCGTGCATCTTTTAATACTCAATGAAAATGTAAACTGCAAGTATTCAAGTAAATAGTATCGCGCATATGTTTCTTTAAATCTGTAAATTTCTATTCAGAAGAAATACTATGGTTAGGTTGTGCAAGTACGGTTAGTTTTGTTACAAGAATTTGTTGACACGATCCGTCCATAGAAGCAGACGTGTGATACGATAATAATTACAATTATATTTTGCTTTAAAAGTTACTTCAACTTGACTGTTTAAAGAAAAAAATAAATAATAATTTAATTTGGGTGTATGTAACGCGGCGATTTGAAGTGGGCTTAGAATTTTAATGTTCAGTAGTTTTTATCGAAATTTTGTGTATTTTGTTTAGTACTAACAGCAAAAAATAATTAATTTTCAGGCTCGAGGTCCGAAAAAGCATTTGAAGCGTCTTAATGCGCCTAAGGCATGGATGTTAGACAAATTGGGGGGTGTGTACGCCCCACGTCCATCCACCGGACCTCACAAGCTCAGGGAATCTCTCCCTCTTGTTATTTTCCTCCGTAACAGGTTGAAATATGCCTTGACTAACTGTGAAGTAACTAAAATCGTAATGCAACGTCTAATCAGAGTTGATGGCAAAGTCCGTACAGATCCTAACTACCCAGCGGGTTTCATGGGTAAGTGAACAACATATTGTTACAATTAAATGTACATAATTGTATGTATTCTAAGTGTATCAGTGCAGATATTAAAAAATTAATAGGCTATATCGAAGATGTAGTATCATTCAAAAAAGATGCTATATTCAAACATTGGCCAATAGTAAATTCTTTTTTAGGTCACAGATTGAGTAGTTTATTCTTTCTGTATTACCCAAAAAGTGCACATTGCCCTATACACTTTTTCAAATACTGTTAAACTATCTGTAGCTGTAAGATTATTATTTAGTTAGATTATTTGTTTCAGATGTTATTACTATTAAGAAGACTGGTGAATTCTTCCGATTGATCTATGATGTGAAGGGACGTTTCACCACTCACAGAATCACAGCTGAAGAGGCAAAGGTAATTGTCATTGGCCTGAGAATGAAAGTAAAATTTAAAAGAATGAAACATTAATTTTGTTAAACACTAAAATATTCTCCATTACAGTATAAACTGTGTAAAGTAAAGCGTGTTCAGACTGGGCCTAAAGGTATTCCATTCTTGGTAACACACGACGGCCGAACTATTCGTTACCCCGACCCAGTTATCAAAGTTAACGATACTATTCATTTGGACATTGCGACCAGCAAAATTTTGGATTCTATCAGATTTGATTCAGGTAGACACACGTTTTATTTATATGTATTTCTGAAAAAATGTACATATTTATACATTTTGTTTTTCTAAATAGGTAATCTTTGCATGATTACTGGCGGAAGAAATTTGGGGCGTGTCGGTACGGTTGTCAGTCGCGAACGTCATCCTGGATCCTTTGATATTTGTCATATTAAAGATTCACAAGGACATACTTTCGCAACGAGGTATGTACATTTACTGTCGACATTTATATCTTGATTTAAAATAATGCGAAAGAGCTTTACTTCATTTCTATTGGCCATAATCGAAGCTATGATAATGCATAATACACGTATTGTAGTCAAAATTTGGCCAAAATGAAATTCCTTCATATTGGTCACTGATTGCCTTCGCGTAGGCTTTTCAGTATTACCCATTTAGGAGACAGAAACGCTTGAAATTTCACTCAGCTTTTTTTTCCTCATTGCATAATATAAAATCTAAACAAATATTCTGCGCAGGTTGAACAACGTGTTCATCATCGGCAAGGGTACAAAGCCGTACATTAGCTTGCCAAGGGACAAAGGTGTTAAGCTATCGATCGCCGAGGAACGCGACAAGAGGTTAGCGGCGAAGGGGGTGAATTAATGTACATTTTCAAGAAAACATTCAATAAACCGAGAACTTCTTGGTGAATAAATGATGTGCCTTCCACCATCACCACCGTCCTTCCATTGTCTTCACGTAGGACCCATAGTTGGAACCGCATTAATGAAACAGAAATACGAATACTTCATCGAATGAAACCTCTATCGTAAATACATCCAGTATACTATTATCATTAACAAATTGCCGCCTGTAGTATCGACGTATCATTAAATTAAATGCATTGATGTAAATATCACGATTTAGTTGAACATGCATCTGTACAGATTATTAAGGCGTATCGTGCGAAACGTCGCTTTAAAGCCGCGACAAAGGTAAAGAACATCTTATTCAATCGTTTTAATCACTTTGCTGGCAGCCATATTTCGGTATTTAATTCGAACGCTTTACGGAGCATCGCGTTACATTGTTCGTCTCTATATTTCTCGGACTTTTTGTGTACTTCTTTGGCAGCTTTCAGATACCTGCAGCGAAACAATTGGCAAGTAAGGATATATAATCGTTGCGCACCGATCCGGCTAACACGCAGTTATTAAGGATTAGTACTTCTGTATACAAAGAACCGTGTTCCTGACTTCCTTTTCCACGACCCGCGAAGACTCGGTAGCCGACGCAGACACGTACTCCGCGTTGTCGTTGGACTGCGCCCGAGTCAATGGATAAATACGGACCCATCCACCCTCTTTCATGCAAGGTGTGTTCCAGTCCTTTCCATTGTCCCAAACCGATGTCTTATCGTGATTCTCAGGATTGGTACCACGGAAACCGCGAGGAATGTATTTGTCCACCAACAAGGGATTGTAACGAGACCATGAATTCGAACAATCGTGTAGATTCGATTGTCTAAGCTGGTGTTTAAAATCATTACGTTACAAACACATCTACACTAACAAACCATGTAACAATTCCCATGGACTACGCCTATTAACCTCTTTTACGTACAGTAGGCTGAAGATCCGTGCATAGATTTACGAAACCGTCGATCTCCCGACCGGTTCTGGACTTCTTCTTCGCGGTCCGGCCCTTACAGTACTTGGAAGACTCTTCGATGTCGACGTTAACGCGATTCGTCGACCATATCGTGAACAGGGAGAGTCCAGTGTTGCATACTGGAAGACCTAGTAAATCGAACAAGTCGTGTAGCAAGGGTTTCTTCACCTCCGAATCGATCTCACAGTCGTTGCTTAATGCCGGGCTGAGATTGACCTGTTGGAATGCCGGTTCTACCGCGTTAGGAACATTTCCGTCGCGTGCGAAGCAGAGAGAGAGAGAGAGTTATATCTATTAACCTCGAGTAACCATGGTTTCAGATCCTTGTCGATCAACACGTCGAAGCCAAAGAACTCGAAGCAATTGGAAGATCTCGGTATACCCGCCGCTTGGCTTAGTATCGTCAAGCTCACCAGGCAGGCGATCCTCTGCCAGAGGAACCAATCGAAGTAACCGGCCTGCTCGAAATACCTCCTCAGCTGTCTGAAAGTCCATTTACAGCCTAGAACGATTTCAATTCTATCACTGTACATCAAATTCACGCTAGGATCGATTCACTAGGTTATTTCTATTTTCAGGCTCGCCGAGAGAAAGATAATTTATTACCAGAACCGACGCGCTCCTTTTTCTCCGCGTATCCCGGGCCAAGTTTGTTCAGGGAGAAGTTGGTGAGGTGCCTGAAAGGGTCGTTCAAGTGTTCCAGCGAGAACTTCTCGGTGGCGAAACGCGTCAGGCCTTCCTTGTACAGATATATGGTCAGAGGCCGGTACGACGGCACGCACACGTACAACCTTAGGTCAAATTTGTAGCCGCCGATCAGCAGGGGGCTCTCGATGTACCTTTGCACCACCGTCGTGTTGTCGTACGTGAGGTCGCTCAGCTTCTGCACAGAACGCGGATTGCGGCGGAGTGAGAGCCCGGTCGGAATCCGTTCGAGACGGATAACGAGACAAAGAACATCTTACACGAAACAGGAAGATGCCTCTCCCTTGGCTTTGACTGACCGGCTTACAGATCCACACCCTGTCGTCTTTCTCGCAGCGGTTGCACTCCTCCGCGAATTTCGTGTACTCCGACGGCAAATTGTAACCTGCGGGGCTAACACGATGCATTCCACATTTGATAACGATCAAACACCCGTTCCGCTTATCAACGACCGTGTTCTAGATCGTACCTGAAATCGTAGATCGAGCCGTGCATCTTCTTCATGCATCTTAAGTGCCGGATAAGATTGTCCTTTCTGCAGATCGAGCTGCCCTTCGGGATTCTGTTGACGAACTGTGGGAAATCGGTAAATTCTGTTCATTCATCATTCATTTATTGTTTATACATGGGACGAACCAACATACTGTCCGAAGCGTACATAAAAGTAACGCCATCGTCATTCCAAATGACCGACAAAGCTACGCGGAGCAAACGTTTCGTATGAATTCCAGGCGAACAGAGAACCGAACGAGTTATTACCTGCCAGGGCAACGGCCTGTAATGAGGCGACGAGAAACCGCCGGACCGCCACCATAAATTCCATCGATCTTTGAATACATTATTATCGCCAGTATATTCCCTCCAGCCACGTTCCGTGCACACCTGCGAAAAGTATGCGACATTCTTTCACTTTCTTCCTTAAGTTCCATCACGCTTACTCTAATCGTATTTTCCGGGGGGTGGCATCCGAGCGGCTCTTCGACGATATTTGGGTTAACGACGAGCGGAAAGGGAGGAGAGAAAGCACCGATTAAACCCTGAATACTACGCATTCCGCGTTTTGCACGGTCCCGAGCGAGCACGCGAAAACACGCCCTTGATTCGGCATTCGTCGTGTCATTAGAGCATTAAGAATGTCCGCCTCTAGCGCACCGGGAACGAGTCAAGGCCTCTAATTACAATTAAATTCGGCGGTATGCTCGTTCGCCGTCACGGTAGCCTACTTTCATTATCCGGCCGTATAATGGCCGTGCAACATTTTCTTAAAACCTGCCGATCGATCCGTCGGAGCACGTCGACACCATTTAAACCCGATCGTTTCTCTGTCAACGCGGAACAAGGGAGAAATGCTCGGGTTAATTCGCTGTCGCGTCTCTCTAGCGTCTCGAACCACTAGAACTTTCTCAAAGTTTCATTACAACGAAGGTGATCGAGAGTGTTCGGCTTACTCTAATTAGAAGCGATCGACGAGCTTGCGATAGCTCGCTCCCTTTACCCAGAATCGGCCGCAGAACAATTGTGCAACGCGTGTCGCAGATGCGTGACCGGGTCGAACGCCGAGTATTTCAAGCGGTACAATTCCATCCTCTTTCCGCAGGTGATCGTCGTGGAGTCGTCGAGCCTAGATGCGGTAGAATCCGCCGAGAACTCGCTGGAAGAACCGTGGAAGCTCCCCTCGCGGGACGAGCCGGTTGCATAATGCGAAATAGGGTTACTCGGCGCAGCTCAGCGGCCGGGGGCTCGTCTTATCGAGGGACGTCGAGGGGAGCTTCGTGCGAGTCAGGAAGAGTCGGTTACGGGTGCGGCACGACGGACGTACGCACGGACGGACGGACGGCTATATTCTTTGCCCTTTTTATTATTGCATGTCGCACTTACTTAATAGCTTCTCCGGCGCTGTTCTAAAAGCGGTGCACGCAAAAGCGCGTCGCGCCCCGTCCCGACTGTGCAGGTATGCACATGCATATGTACACCGTGTACGTACCTTGAAAAGTATTCAGTTCAAGGACACCGGCTAAGTTTGTAACCGTGCCGAACAAATTCCGAGCGACATAAAACCCTGGCGAGACGTGTCTCCGATATTTATGCTCGTTTCCTCTTTCTATCTCCCCGGTGCACCGGCGTCGCGTACCCCTGTCCCTTTTAGAACGCTCGGCATTCGATTCGACTTTAACCGCCACGCTAGAAATCCATCGCTTTCGGGTGCATCAGCAACGTGTGTTAATGTATATCGAACTTTCAGGTGCACGTGTGCTGGCAGCTAGCGCGTTGCAAGGTGGAAGTTCCGTTCGATATCGATCTCGCCGATTTCGTTGCATTCTCACCGCTGCGAGGGACTCGCGTCGTACCTGTATGAGCAGATGTGGTCCTGTACCATTGTCGTTAAGTCTGAAGACGAAGGGACCGTCCAAGTATTTCACTGCCATGCCGACGCATTGTACTCCGGCGCGACGCGGGAAGATAGCTGGACTAGCAGATCACGACATGACATGGTTCGACTCGTGCGATTGTTGACACGGCTGCGTTCTTCCAAACCAGAGTAAACACGCGTTTAGACGTCCGCGTGGAACGAATGGTAAATCGGTTATGGATAATTGCTCACCTGTGCACGAGCGAAACAAGATCTCCTACTCGCGTTCGCGACTCCCATTCGTGGAACTCCGCCGTTCCCTCGTTTGAACGCGAGCACCGTGTCCTGAGATCCGCGCGTTAGCGTTCAAATGCCCGGCCGACAGGACATGCCCGCGTTCTGTGTCGCCCGTACGCGAGCATAAAACTCCTGAACGGCGGGCTGGTACTCGAGCCGACGGTCCTCGGTATTCAAATATTCCGGCGGAACCGCACGCAAACGAGCCGGGATCCCGGTTCCCACTGGTGTGCACCGGCACGTTTCGGTCTACGCAATCGCTTTGACCTGGTCGCAGGTGCGCAGGTATTGCCCGTGTGCCGGATCGCCCGCCGCCTTTCAGCTTTTATGGGCTTTCGGTGGACACCGCGGCGACAGCAAGGACACCGGAAGTCTGTCGGCCCGGGACCTCCCGAAAGGGTTCTCGCTTGATGCACACGCTTATAGATCGTTATCGCGGGCACGCGACATCCAACGGCGCACCGTGCGCCGATAGCGGAAGCGTGTCAGTGTCGACGGTTCAAGTTTAAACGCGAGGCGTACGCGCGTGCCTGCGGCGACACGCGTGTCGAGGAGACGTATACACCGCGGATCTCCCGTGAATTCGGATTTCATTGATAAACCCGCTCCGAGGAGGACTCGGGCGAGCCGAAAATGGTTCTGTCGGCGAGCACTCGGGAAGCTATTCTCGCGGGTGTATTAATAGATGTACACGTTCATTGAAGTCCGCGGCGATGACGTATCCGTCGCGGAAAAGACTTGCCAGAAAAATGTCTCGCGTGTCTGCCTCCGGAGGTAGGAGGTACCGCAAGGTTACTTTAATGACAAATCGATGAGACCGTCCCTTCGCCGGAGAGAGCTACTTCCTCGTTACAGTCGGAACAGTTTATGACCGTGTTTCCACGTGTCTCGAGTTTCCGCTGCACGCGCCTCGGAATCCGTTGCTTCCCTTCGGTGACCTAGCCGCGATTCGCGAGGATAATCGTTCCTCGTTTCGACTTGTGTCTCGTCCTTCGCGGCTCCCTTCGCGGTTGAACTGTCGTTTGTCGGTATTTTATTTAAACGACGGGTGATCGAACAATTGCCGGTGCCGACGATGATTCTCGTTGAAACTAAGCTACTCTGTTTGCAGGTGGAAAAGAGGAGCGTGCTTGGGAAGGAGCATCGAAGAAGTATTCTCAGAACGATGGAGATTTACATGAACATTTTATTTTATTGTAAGCAACACGTAACACGGATACAGAGGCTCGTGCGGTTCTCAGCCAGCAGTCGGATCCAATTCAGGTTGATCGCAAGTTGCGTCTGTTGCGCACGGGTAACGTGCCAAACTGCGCAACGCCTGCCTTGTTACTGCCCCCGAAGAACCGGGGTCCCGCCGGCGCATTCGTCCACGTTTACTGTCTGACACGAGCCCGCGAAGATGGCACAGAAATCGGTAACCTTGTCTAAAATTATATGGCAACTGCTATCAAAGTGCAAGTTCCTCGATCCTCGAAGCCGATTTTCCCCCTTCAATCGCGCTGCTCGTCCCCGTCCGTTCCGTCCGGGCACCGGGCGATCGTTCGATCTGAGAACGTATCGTCCGTCCCGATGGAAGTTCGTGACGGTGCTCGACGGAACGATCGGAGACGATCAAGCGACGGAAAGAAATCGAGCCCTGTCATCTCGAGCCCGCGGTAGAAGAATCCGGGTCGAGATCCCGGGGTAGAACCGTTCCCCTGTCGGATGATTTACGGCGGAATTCGCATGCACGGGAATTCTAGGTCCGCTCCTCGATTCGATAATGGTAACAAGTGTCTCCGCGGAACGCTTGTTAGTCGACGTGAAACGTATTCGTCGTCTAATCACGCGATCTTACGACCGCGAATCAGGTATCCGTCAATTAGTACCGCCGGCGAATCGTGACTAGTAATATTTCCGTTTGAATTTCCGATATTCGTGTCGAACGATTCCCGATTAACGACTCCTCGGGCGGACGAGAACCTTACCGTTTCCCCGTGGAAACACCAGGGAACCGGTACGAACCGTCCGCGGCGCGAGCGAACGCGAGAGGAACGGACACGGTCTCACCGGTGCGTTTTCGGTCGACCGAGATTCCACAGCCGAGGAATCGGCGGCCGACATTTACGTGACGACGGTCCGGATGCACCTTGGGCCTGCGAAATATGTGATAACGCCGGTAATGCTAATTGCTCGGACGACCTTTGCGTGATCCGGCCAAGAGACCAAAAAGCCGGCGCGCGTTCCTTGTATCGTTGCAGAGTTGTCTGCGGCAACGAGGTATTCCATCGAGACCGGAAGCCGCAGCGCAGAGAGGCTCGTCCCGCCGATACTTGGCGCACGGCTGTTCGATATTTCGGTTGATTTCTTTTTAGTCGTGGAATGTCGACGCGTTGACGCCCGGCCGAGAATGTTTCATGTCCGTCGGTTCGAAAGAGAGACCCAGCACTCGCGCGTCGCATTATCGAGCTGAACGAATCGCCGGACAATATCGTGCCGGTCGCGGAGTCGGCGTCTGTCGCGCGCGGCCTCGTCCCTCGCCGTTCCATATTTTCGCCGGCGCAACGATTAGAAACGGTATATTATCCTGAGTGCCGAGCGACGGCCGATCACGGAATCACGAGGGAACGCGATCCTCTCGAAGGACACCGGTTTCCCCTCTCCTCCCTCCGTTCGGTCCCGCTCTCGTTCCCCCGACTTCGCCGACTTCGAGGAGCTCACCGTTCACCGTATCCTCACGCGATTACGATTATCGGGGGGGACACGGTGACGTCGATAAAGTAATTAGTTCGCGTTCTATTTAGCGTACTCGTTCGTAATACAAACACCACGTTCCTCGTTGGATATCGTTCACTATGGAGTTACTGTCGCGAGCGGCGCTCGCGGCCGCCCTCGTTTGGGTTAGTGTTTTTCCGGGGACGCTGCTGTCGCCCCGTCGATCGAAATTATACAAGAAGAAGAAGAATAAGAAAGAAGAAGAAGATGAAATCACGGTAAAACAACATCGTGCAGAAAGAATATCGTGCTCGCCAAGCTAAGGTACGCGTATTCCCCGCAATTCTTTTTTTTCCGCTTTTTCCCTATTTTCCCCCTCGCCCCGTTTTCTCATTTTTTTTTCCCCCGCCCACCCCGCTGCCCTCCCTGAATCTCCTTTGCTTGTCGCGCGCGTCAGGGTCGAAGCGTCGCGGTTTTAACGCGCATGATTCTTGCAGAACGGACGACCGCCCTTCGCGTAGAAGCTCTGGCCCTCGAGGTTCTTCTTGCACATCTGAAATGGAGGAACGGATGAATGCCTTCGAAACGTCGACGGTTGACGCGACGGAAGAACGCCGAGGTAATTCGACGGTACGTTTCTTCGGCTTTCTTCCACGGCGTAAGATCGATCGGTTTATTTCGAGAAGCGCTCTCGCACTAATTGCGTACCGTGCAGTTGAAGCATTGGCTGTGGTAATTATTGTTCAGGGCCTCTACCCAGCGATCTCCAGCCTCGACGGGGAATCCGCACGCGAAACACTTTGTCGTGAACAGCTCGTTCCAATCTGCGCCAACAGAGAAAAGAGAACGTCGGGGATCAGCTCGGAACTGAAGGAATTAAGGAATTCAATGGAGTTTAAGAGAGGTATAGAACGAACCAGCTTCGCAATAGGGCAGTCCCTCTTCGAGGAAGAACGGGCTGTTGCCGAACAATTTGCCGCAGTACGTGCACTTGAAGCATTCAGGGTGGAAGTGCTTTCCAATCGCGTTCAGGCAGTCCTGGAACAACGGAGGAGACGTGGTCGTTCGGAGTGGGAGATTTGAAATAGGAGTTCCAGCAGGTTTCTCTATCGAGTACTCACGCCTTTGATCTTGTTGTTGCATTTGTTGCAGCTGGGCGCGATGAAACGTTCGAAACAGTACTCGCAGTAGAGCTGTCCTTTTTCCTCGACGAATCCGATGTCCTGAAGGGGTCGACGGCATTGCGTGTTCACGCAGACGAAGTGCTCGGGGCACCAGATCTGTCCCAGCGCGGTGATGAATGGCCCCCTGGGGATCACGCAACCCGGATTACTTTTTACGCTCGGTTTCGGCGGGACGGCACGAGCGCGCGAGAAAGCAGAGCCAAGCATAAGAAAACGACAACTAGAGGATAGAGACTATTTTTCGTGATCACCGCGGAACTTTTGATAGGCTAGACTTATAAAACTTGAGGAAAGGTAGAGGTAAATTATCTGTTTTCCCGTAGGTCGGCTGAATTACGAACCTTATGCACTGTTTGTCGTTTTTACAGCAGACTGGTTTTATGAGGAGACCGTTCGACTTGTGATTAGTATTTTCTCCGTTAGCTGTTAACATCGTGCAAATTCAACACTGTTAATCACGTCAGTACAACATCATGAATAATAGTTACATCATTAATCGAATCAATGAGAATATGAGACAACAGAAAACAAAAGACACGTATAATCTAATTAATATTACATGTTTTCTAGCGATCGCTAGGCACTCGTGAGAACAAGCAATCGCTGTGCCGCGACGTCCACCTGATCTTCCAGCTTCTTGTCTTTCCAATCATCGGATCGTCTTCTAAAGCGTACGCGGAATCAACCACAAAAGGGGAAGGAACGAAACGGGAGAGGAGAATGTAACGACTGGTGACAGAGAATGATCATCCGGCAACGGACAACGCAAACAAAACGAAACGAACAACAACAAAAACAACAACAACAACAACATCAACACACACCGATGAGCAACGGGGAGTGTACCTGACGTAAGAGTTGCAATGAGCGCAGAGGGGCACTCGCGATCCCGGTCCGGTCGCTTGATTCAGGATTCCCCGGCCGCGTTTCGGCGCGCTGCTGCCAGCGAACGTCCCGCTCTTCGACCCGGCACCACCGAGGCCACCGACTCCGGTACCTAGATCCGGGTGGGATGACAAATTTGGTGGGTCTACTAAACTTTGGGTTTTGCTAGAGGGAGAACAATGGACACCGTCCCGGCAGTTACTTCGGGTCTCGCATCGAGTCCCGGATTGACAGCGGGTGTTGATCGAACACTGACTGCCCGACTGGCAACTGGTCTGGGTGGAACAGTAACTCTGGCTTTTGCAACAGTAGCTTCGGGACTCGCAGCTGCTCTGCGCCTGGCACGCGTCGGACTGTGCCTGACACTGAGCCTCGGGTTTGTACAGCTGAACGGTGGGAAGAGTTTTGTGGCCAGCTTTGGCGGTCAGTCGCGCGAGTTGCCCACTCAAGTTAGTGCGAGGCTTGTGGATCGGCTGGAACGGACTTCGCTGCGGGCTACAGGGAGCTGGCGGAGCCGGATCTTCGAAAGGGAAAGGGATCTGCGGGAAAGGGAGCTTCGACATCGAAGGCGGTAGACCCGGCTTGGTGCACGGCGCGATGCAAACGGATCCATCGTCGCACGGGGCCACGCAGACACCCGTGTCCGGGCAGTTCGGGATCTCGATGTCGCAGGCGGACTCTCGGCCGCATCGTCCCGACGGTTGTCCGCAGACGCCCGTCGTCTTCATGCCGAAGCAAGGAGAGACGCATACTCCCGCGCGATCGGCGGTCGGCACGACGCAGACTCCCGACTTCTGGCAGCACGGATTAGGTCCCTCGCAAGGTACCACCACCACGCCCGCCTTCGTGCCCTTATCAGAGTGCGCTTTGCAGGGTAGCACGGTGAGACCGGTGTCCGGGCACGGCTTAGAAGCAGGTGGAGTCGCATAGCTGACGTGGCGCACTTCCGTAGAACTGCTGTACATCGGCTGCACCGAGCAGCTCGTTGGTTTGGAGGACAAAGGACACGGAAGCGTGGGCTTCGAGGGACTCGTCTTGGTGATCGCGCAGACATCGTTGGCTGGTTCCTCGCGAGGCGGCGGCAGAGGCTGCGGCGCGGCTCTTCTCTCGCACCTCTCGAAGTCCTCGACGACCTGCAGCGACCTCTTCACCACCGACTGCTTCTGCTCGCTCGTCTCCTCGCTGGTCATGCACCGCTTCTCCTGGAACTGCGCGTGGACGGCGTCCGTCGGACCACGCTCCCGATCGTCGATCTCCTTCTCGTCGAAGTCTACGGTCTTAGTAGCCTTGTACTCCGCGGTTCTGTGCCCTTCGTCCGTGTCTTCGTCCACCTTGTAAGAGACGCTCTTCTTCGTAGGGAAGTGCACGGCGGACCGTCTAGGCGGAGGGTCGTCCCTGATGCGAGGAGCTTGAGCTTTCACGTAGCAAGGCGGCGGCGACGGTGGCCCGTGAGCCGGCGACTTCGACCTGCACGGCGTCGGAGTTGGAGTCCTGCTCGACGGCTGGAACGTGTGACTCTCCACCGCGCTCTTTCTCATGGCGACCAAGTGCTTCTGATAGCTCGGGATGGTGTCTGGCTTCTTCAGGGAGGCGGTGATGCACTTGGAGCTGGGCGTCTGAGGCCGAGATCTTATCGGCGACACCGAAGTGTCTCTCAGACGATAATCGGGCGGCGGAGTGGGCAAAGGTCGAGGCTTGGGAGACGCCATAGGCGGTCGAACCTCTCTGGGCTTCCCGTCGCCGAAGAGGATGTCAGCGGGCGGCAGGTAACCGCCTCTGTCGCCCAGAAGATTCGGCGTGCCGGAGCGACTCGCGATGTTCTGGTCGTCCGGCCCGATCTCCCTGCTGAGGGGAGTGTAAGGCCGCTCGGGAGCGATCGTCAACGCCTGCTGGAACGGGGAGATCGGTCGGACGTCCTCCTTCGGCGGTTGCTTCGGCCGGCACCGGTGGTCCAGGTATATAGTCTCTTCCGTGTACACTTCCTTCACGCTGGAGGAAGTGCTGAGAGGCGTGTAGGGCCTGTCCGGCGCCGTGGTCAACGCGTTCACCATTTCAGACTTCCACTCCTTGGGCGTGGAGTTCTGCAGGGCGGAGTGGGGTATCGGCTTCGGGCCGGAGTCCGTCTGCTTCACGAACTGCACGTGCTTCTTGTTGGTCTCCATCACCTCCTGCGTCGGCAGGTACTTGGCGCACACCTGACGACCTCTCGGCGCCTGCTGATCCCTCAAGCTCTGGTGGACCTCCACTTGCTCCCGTAAGCTCTTCCTACGTTCATCGTTCATATCCAACCGCCTGACGCGTTCCTGCACTAGAACCTCTTCCGTGATCTCCTCGTAGGTCTCCTTGATGAGCTTCTTCGAGCCAGGCGTAGCGCCCTCCGCCTCCGTCACCTTCTCCTCGCGCACCACGGTTCTTCCCAGCGGCTGTTCCCGAACCTCCTCCACAACTTCCTCTTCGAACGTCACGTGTCTGCTGTTCCGCTCTTCCTCCTCCTGCCGTCTGCGCTCTTCCTCCTCGCGTCTCCTCCTCGCTTCCTCTTCCTCCCGCTTCTTCCTCTCCTCTTCCTCCTGCTTCCTTCTCTCCTCCTCCTCCTCTTCTCTCTTCCGCTCTTCCTCCTCTCGTTTAGCCTTCTCCAGCAACTGCTGCACGTCCACCGCGGACGTGACCACCTCGGCGGACTCGACCACCGTCTTCTCTTCCGACTTCTCCGTCACCTCCGTTGTTTCCGTCATCTCCGTCGACTCCTCCTTCACTTCTCTGTCGATGTGCGTCGCGGTGGTCCTGGAGTAGCTCTCCTCGGTCTCCTCGATCATCGGCGTGCTGGGTCGCGCGGGCGACGGGATCTTCTCGATGGTCTTCTCGAAGGTCATCCTCTTCTTCACGTGCATCCCGTCGACGTCTTCCTCCGAGGTCTCGGTGATGAAGTCGTGCTCGCCTCCGAGCCCCTTTTCCTCGCTGTCCTCATCCGCGATTTCGTCGGCCGGTCTCAAGTCGGTCACCTCTTCGTCGACCTCCCTGATCTCTTCCTTCGCCTCCTCCTGCTTGATCGCGTGCTCCGTCGGCAGGGGTGGTTTCCCGCAGATGGTCTGCTCCCTGCGGCAGACCTTCGACGTGTACGAGCGGTGCTCCTCGCGGAACGGCTGATTCCTCTCGCAGATTCGTTCCCGCTGGCAGATCTCCTTCTGGTGGTACTTCTTGCAGACCTTAGGGGCGTCGGGTTGTCCGTAACTCTGCTCGTAGATGTTGCTGCCGGTGGTCACAGTCGCCGTCCACGGTTTCGGGATCGGCTGGACGATCCTGGTGGGCGTCAACGACCGCCGGACGCTGTCGGTCGAGCTGGGCCTCGAGGTGACTTCGCTCCTCGACTGCCTGTCGGCGCTGGCTTCCACCAGCTCGACCTTCCTGTAGACGGGCCCCGGGCAACTGATTCGCTCCATCGGATCGTAATCGAAGCTGCCCCAATGCCTGGTCACTCTCTCGACCTCGCTGTCCACGCTATCGGCCCTCTTCTTCGTTAAGGCCCTCTCGCAGGCCTCTATGCAGGCCTTCTTCTCTCTGACCGCCGGCCTACCCCTTCTGTCGAGCGCGGGATTCGGATCGATGTACAAAGGACTGGCGGTGGGATAAGTGATGTCCTCGATCGGTTTCGCTGGCGGCCACACGAGGCTCTTCGACTTCACCGAACTAGGACGGCACTCGGTGCTGGTGGCGGTGGTGGTGGTCTTGGTCTCTTCCTCGAAGGACTGGTAATAATAGCACTTCTCCCGGGTTTCAGTCGAATTTTCTGGGATACCGGTGTTTCGAAGAGGACCGATCCTCGGGGAGAAGGACACGGACGGACGGATGGGACCGAGGATGGACGGTGGAGACGATCGAAAGCGGGCAAACATACAACAAAGACACGAACAAGAAACACAGAAAACATTTTGTAAGACGTGCCA